TCCTTGGAGCTTAGTGCAACTGCACCTTTGTTTTAAAAATCAAGTAATAAGCTCAGCATACTTATTAAATCAGCAATATAAATGATCTGTATTTTTTCACATAAGCTTAGATTTTGCCATGGTCTGCTAAACTTTGTTGCTAAAATCAACTAAAATAGAGGCTGCTTACATCATCGCTAATGCGGGGACTTGTTACACACAGGAACCTAGGCAGACCATAGTTAAATCTTAGTATATTTAGAAAAAAAGGTATACCTTTTATATTGCTAATTTAATAAGAGTAAAAATTTACCAAATTATGTATGCAATTTACTATGTTTAATTATGCACCAGCATGTCAACCAAAATGTGTTACATTTAATAAGGTAAAAAGTACATATTAATAAAACAAAATTGAAAATTTGATTTAAAGCATTTTTCCTAATTTCAGCTATTTACAGAAAACCATTTCCGTAAAAAATTATGATAAATGTAATTAATGCGAGAAGAAAAAGTGAGTAAAAGTAAAAGTGTAAATAATTATTTTTTTTTTTAGTTTTAGATAAAACAGAGAAGGGTGAAAACCCCTGCCAGGATTTATTTTGCTCTCTGTGTACCAATGTGGAGATTTTTCTTCATTTCTTGTCCAGAAAACACGAATGAAAGCAATGGAAATCCCCCTCTTAGTCTGTTGTCCCAAAATAAGTGTCCCTATTGGAAGATTTCCCCACATCTCTTATGCTGGGGACAACTCAAAAATTTTGTAGAAAAATAAGGGTGAATCCCCTCAAATTGGGACTCAGAAAGCAATTTCTACTCTATCCTAAACTTAAGAAAAAGATTTGCCTAGAAATAGGCTTTAAGGAAAAGATGAGGTTAAACTGTTATAAAGGTATTTGCATTCTGTAGTCTAATATATTTTATCTGGTATTATGTGGACTGTAAATAAAAAATTGTGCTTTTCAGACTTTGTAGACAGAACCATAATTGTATGATACAGTATATGTTATGCTGTTTAAACCTACCATTGTCACTTTGGTACAATACAGTATATGTTATTCAATAGGAGCAGCTACAGTCAAAAATATTGGCACCCTTGCATTTCTGTCAGATAATGCACCACTTTGCCCAGAAAATTGTTGCAATAACAAATGTTTGGGCCAGGGTTTCTCAACTAGGGTACCTCCAGAGGTTGCCAGGGGCTCCTTGAGCAATGAGCAATTTTTGCTCTCTGGTAAGTTCCCACTGACATCATTGATCTTTTTAGGAATCTGTAATTCTAGAAAGGTTATTCTTCCCAATCACCACAAGTGTAAGGAGCATTCTTACCACTGATTATCACACTAATTTATCATGAATTGTGGATAAAGTAATTTTAGCAGGGGTTCTCTGAGATGGGAATGTTATGTCAAGGGGTTCCTCTGCATTGAAAAGGTTGAGAAAGGCTGGTTTAGGCATTCTCATGTTCATTTATTTTGTTTGTATTGGTATGACACAAAAATTGGAGAGAAACTCATCTCTAATACATATAAACTCCTTATGGACACTTTCCCCTTATCTAATGACACTCATCATTACATGCGCAAGTGGTCCCAGTTTTTACAATGTGACATTGATTTGACACAGTGGAAAAACATGTGGGAAAATGCACCTAGATCCTCTGTTTGCATAGTTTATAAGGAAAATACATACAAAATTATGATGTTGTGGTACAAAACGCCTGAAGTACTCCATGCCTGTAACTCGAATGCTCCTTCTGTTTGCTGGCGCTGTAGGAAAGACTTGGACTCTCTCTACCATATTTTGTGGGCATGTGGGTCTGGGTCCATTATTCCTTTTTGGGAAGAGGTTTTGTCCTTATTACAATTGCTATTGCATACCTCTCTCCCTTTCGAGCCTCTATACTTTTTATTGAGCCTGCTATTTCCGGGCCTCTCCAAACTGTCCAGGAAACTCTCCATGCATGTTCTGACTGCGGCCAGAAGAAGCATTCCTATGTGTTGGCTATCCTCCATACCTCCTTCGATGCTGACTTTCTTTAAAATTATTGCTGATGTAAGCCAGATAGAATATTTGACCGCTCTACATGCTTGTTCGATTGCTGTGTTTGAGGCAATATGGAACCCGTGGGATGTCTTTATTTCTTCTCAACCTGCCCAAAATGTACGTATTTAACTGCTTCTCCATTGTTATTTTGTGCATTATATGTTCTGTACCCTTGCAGATTTCTACCATCAATGTGCCTGTTTCTCTTGTTTCTCTTTCAAATGTGATGTATGTATATACATGTGAAACTCAATAAAAACTGTTAATTATAAAAAAAATGGAGAAACAAAAAGCCAAATCTGACACATTCCATGCAAAACTCCAAAAATAGACTGGACAAAATTATTGTCACCTTCTTAAAATTGTAAGAAATAATTGCATTCCAAGATTCTGATGCTCCTGTAATTTGTAATTAAATTAACCTGTATCAGTTAACAGATCTTAATGTTCCTGTGTCCACTGTGCACAACACTGTCAAGAAGTTTACAGCCCATGACACTGTAGGTAATCTCCCAGGACATGGACAAAAGAGGAAAAACTTGATCGAAGATTGCAAAGGAGGATTGTTTGAATGGTGGAAAAAAGAACCTCGATCAACTTCAAGGTAAATTCAAGATGACCTTCAGGCACAGGGTACAACTGTGTCAGCTTGCACTATACGTCACCAATCTGAAAAGGGACTCTATGGTAGGAGGCTCAGGAGGACCCCACTGCTGACACAGAAGCATAAAAATGCCAGATTGGAGTTTGCCAAAACCCTTTTGAGAGATTTGCTGTAGACAGAAAAAACAAAATTACAGCTTTTTGGTAAAGCCCATCATTCTACTGTTTTCAGAAAAAGTGTTATTTAAGAAAAGAGAGTTCTTTAAAAGAAAATAATACAGTCCCTACAGTCAAACATGATGAAGGTTTACTGATGTTTTGGGGTTGCTCTGCTGTTTCAGGCACTAGATATCTTGTGCATGGCATTATGAAATCTGAAGACTACTGAAGAATTCTGGGGTGCAATGTAGGGCCCAGTGTCAGAAAGTTGGGTCTCCATCAGAGGTCATGGGTATTACAGCAGGACAATGACCCAAAGCAAACATCAAAAAGCACCCAGAAATGGTTTCAGACTGAACTAGCCAGCAATGAGTCCAGATCTCAGTCACATAGAGTACCTTTGGAGAGATCTCAAAACAGCAGTTGGGAAATGGAACCCTTCCTATCTGAGAGGTCTGAAACAGTTGGCAAAAGAAAAGTGGTCCAAAATTCCAGTAGAGAGGTGTAAGAAACTCATTGATGGTTACAGGAAGCTATTGATTTCAGTTATTTTTTCCAAGAGGTGTGCAACCAAATATTAAATTGAGGGTGCCAATAATTTTGTCCAGTCCATTTTTAGGGTTTTGTGTGGAATGTGCCAGATACGGCTTTTTGTTTCTCCACTTTTTTGTGTCATACCAATTCAAACAAAAGAAATAAACATGAGAATGCCTAAACATTTGTAATGGCAACAATTTTTTGTGTGAAGTGGTGCATTATCTGACAGAAATGCAGTGGGGCCAATATTCTTGGCCATGACTGTATGCAGGAGCCAGGATTTATCCAGTGGACTATAGTAGGCTACAATGAAACATTTTTTCAAATACCCCAAACCTTGTTCATGTTTCATGGGCAAAACCTTTCTTGATCACTTCTTTTAAATATATTTTTAGTATAGGTATAGCCAAAACTTTGTTTAGGTTTTGAATAGAGTAGTGAAGGTATATAACCCCTGTCAGTTTATATTTTACAGTCTCTGGCCAATTGGGTAGATTCCCCTTTACTTTCTATCCCAGGAACAGGATATAAAGGGAAATTATCTCTTAGCCACTTTCTCCTTGGAACAGATGTCGCTATTGAACGATTTGCTATGACTACTTGTTCTGATGACATTTCTAAATTGTTGGACTTTCCATCCCTTTCATATTGACAATGGACACAGGAAAAATAGAGTGGGTGAATCTACTCAGCTTAGATACTAGCAACAGTAGAAACTTGATAGGAGTTCTATCCTTTCCTGCTCTGTCCAAACTAAAAAAATGGCTAGGTTTGCACTGTAAAATATCAAGAATATCTTTTTTATATCACCAAAGAGAAATTATGGACCTCTACGATTTTCTTATACAAATATATATATATATTCTGCCTTATACCTACAAAAGCAGCTGTATGAGATTCTTGTGCTGATAATCCCAGTTTGTGGATTCTAGATCAATGTTTCTCTTTACAAGCCACATTGCAAAGATCTCTGACTGATACATCTTTGGGAACGTATAGTTGAGATTGTCTTGGGTTGCTGGTTAGTTTCTATCCATGGTACATTTTTTTTTTTCATTTTACATACACCTCTTCTGTTGTATATATGTTTATGCCACTTATGAACAAACATATTTTAGTATTTTTTTTTTATTTTGTACACTACAGAATTGGCAAAATTGTAGAATTTTAATAAAGCACAGATGTCATTCAAAATTGCATGAGTAATAATAATGCGTATGCTTACGTTAAATATAAACAGTATATTTGCTAGTATAGAAATAAAAGTCAACTCAATGAAAGGAGTAGTCTGTAGCCTCCTGTAACTTTCCCTAGGTAAAATTTCCTTTCTATGAATCCATTCCTTCAGATAAGACAGGCGTTCAATTTCCAAACAAAATCCATATTACAAGTAATACTGAAAGACTGGAATAAAAGACAAGATCTAAAATGCTGTCTGAGAAAAAAAGGGTGGGTCAACAGAATCGTCTTACGATTAAAAAAAAAAAATGAATTTGATCGTCTTTTTTAAAAGCCTTTACTACTAGATAAAACAAATTATATTTCTGACATTTATGACTCTGCATAAGTGATTGTACCCTGTAAAGATTAAATATTGTGTAATAAATGTATATTTGTGTTTTATTTTGTATTGATGACATCAGACTGTTAACAATGGTGATGTAGGCTCTTAGTTATCACTCAGATGTAGAGTTTGTCCTCACACAACAGTTAGATTGTCTCAGAGAACGAATTACAGTTCTGAATGACCTCCTCTTCTTCTTAGTGGGCTGTTCCATTTCACCTGACAGTTCAGAAGGCTGCATATGTTGTTCTATTTGGATCTCCAAATGCTTCTGAATGGCTAAGCCCAGGACTTCAGGATCTACTGCTGCTCCATAGACTTCCCATGTCATTCCTTCATCATCCCACCGTACCTCCCGTACAGGGGTCTGGGGGCATTGTAGGTTAAACCCTAGTCCAAGCTCAGGATGTAAGTGGGAATGCCCAGTGGTTTGAAGGCAAGGAATGGTTGACGCTGATTTATTTTCCATAATAATAATAGTTTGTACTTCAGCATCTTTGCAGGTAAGTGGGAGTCTCTGCTCTGGTAATAAATAATTCATAGATGTCATTGTCCAGTTATCTTTCATCTTTGCACTTGAATTAAACTCCAAACCATCTTGTGAATTGTCTGTGGTTTTAAGGAGAAAGTCATTGTTCCCCTTCACTGAACTATTTAAATGCAGCTCTTCAATTGAGACAAGAGCTTGTGGAAATGTAAGCTGTCCACATTTTAATAGCTTCCTAGCATCCAGGCCGGATTCACTGACAGATGACACTAGTTTTGGAAAGGCAGACTTATCAGAAAGTGTCAATTGGGAACACAATTGGGGCTGAGTATTCAGTGAGCTTGGATCACCAACTGAATGTCCCAGTCCAGTCGAGAGTTGAGCTGATGGTATGGGCATCGAGTGGCAATATGCAGCAATAGTGTCATCTGCTTTTATCATAGGTTCATGGCTCCTGCAGCAATGCACTGAACAACTGTTGTGAATAATCATAGCTTTGTGATGGAGTTTAGTTTCAGAAATATTATCACAAGACATTAGCCCAGGTATATTGTAGTGTGACTGACTGTATATGTGTCCATTATTTGGAAAACCATTCCCAGAGTTCCTTGGTCCTAAAATGCCATGTTGGTATGTCCCTGGCACTGTATACACTGTTATATTGTGCTGAATGGAACTATTATCCAAATGACAACAGTGGAATGCTGGGATCTCTATCAGGAGAAGTGGCATGTATTAGGTTGTTCTGAATATTTGATAAAGAATGAACTATTCCAGAGTCTTGCGTTACACTACTGAGATTACAAGTCCTGTCGCTGCCAGAGCCAGAGATAGTGCCAGATGAGGATAGATTTGAACATGTGGCACTTATTGTATTGTACACTTTGACAGAATGAGGCACTGATTTTCTATGGCCACAGCAGTAATCCGAATAGCTTTTATGGACAATCGTGTTTGGGGTGTCCAGTTTCTCAAGGCTTTCAGCTTCATACATTGACATTTCTGAGCGACCTAGCAGGGAAATATTTTCAGAAACGTTGTATCTGACAAAACTACGTGTGATTTCAGGCTCTGTGGCAGCTAGAGAGGAGTCTGCAGACAGATAGTGATTCTTCTGATGTATCTTCTCCTCTGCTGTGTCTACAGAAAGATGATTGCAGCTGGTTTTCGTAAAAGACTGATCAGCTGCTATATCTTGGGTAGGCGACAAGTTGGAACTTTGTGAATGCTGAATGCTGTTCTCATTACACTTGGACACACAATGAATGCTGTTAAGGCTTTTATGCATCTCTGGCTTTGTCTCTGAGCCTTCAAGACTAATACAGGGCAGAGCTGAAGAACTATTTGACAATGAATAACAGCCAGGAATAGTCTTCTCAATGTACATTAAGTTCAATTCTTCCTGGCAGGAATGAGTGGAAAGGTTCTGAATGTTATTTGTCATGATAAATAGAGTTAATTTGGACCTGTATAAGAAAACAGACACATTTGTTATTAACTGGGGCCTTAACTGTTAAATTCATACACATATTTCAGATAAGACAATAAAGTGATAATTGTTTTGCTCGAATTAGACAAGACGATGAGGGATTTAACTTAACAGCATCTACCGTGATAAAAATATCAGCTTTGTGCAGACTGAACCTCTGCACCTTTCAAAGGATTGCTTGGGTGTTGTATGTAGCTAGGTGTTGGCTTTATCATTATGCCATTTACAGATAAGACTATGGTTAAACCTTTTTCCCCCTAGTGCCCAACACTGGGACTGCTACATCACTTCCTGTTAGCAGAGTGGATCAAGTTCTTCTAACAGCAGAGGATCCTGGGACCTGTGGTCATATAGCCAATACATACTGTATTTCTGAGTGCTGATTGGACTACAACTACCTGACAGCTGGGGAAGCAGAAGGTTGCTGGGAGAGCAGATATATTCCATGACAAGGAACTGGCTCACTCTCTTGGTGCATGATTTAGAACTGAACACAGGGGGACTGCTGTTCTCCTTCAGACAGATTACCAATCCCCACACCGGTATCACATCAGCTTCTCTGCAGTGAGAATGTCACTATCCAGTCTTCAGCCAGTCATCTCTGTTTGCTTCACCGACAGGTGGTAACTCTGCACTTCTCTGTGAACAGCCAAGAGCCTGTGCAAAAAACCTGTTCAGAGGAGGCCAAAATATCCATGGGATTGGTGAGCGGGCAGATACCCAACTTTTTTCTAACAACACTCTAGAGAGCATTTGCCACAGCCTGTGTTCTTTATTAAATTACCATTACTCACCACTGTATATGGGCCCCACCAATGCTAGCAGAAGACGACTGCTATCACATCAGGAACTTCAAACAACTCAGGACTCAAGTTGCTATTTCTAGTTAAAGGGACCTCTTCGCATCTAAGCCATTGTTATTAAAATTAGGGTGCCTATAACCATTTATGCCAGGGTGTTTATATATATATATATATATATATATACACACAGTATATAAATATATATATATATATATATATATATATATAGTTCCAAAGGTAGCCACAGCGCTTTATGTTTGAGATAAATGTCCAGGTGCTCACCCACGAAGAGATCCATATGAATCCAAAACTGGTTTTAGAGCTACTCTCTGCAAGACCCGTGAGTGCCTCTAAATCAGTTTTGGATTTATAAATGATTTGCAATCCATATTGTGACGTCGGTGGCCCGGAGGGAGCTGATAAATCAACAAGCCTTTTCTTTCCCTTCCTGCTGCTGGTGTTACATAGTTACAATGTATAATTTGTATAATGTTAATCATTGCTATTTGTTTTTTTCCATTTCATCAGTGTTTTGCTTTTATGCGTTACCTGGGTTTTACCTCCTAAACCTTCATTCTGTGGTCTACTCTTTTGAAAGAGGCTAATATAGAGGTGTTACTAAAGAATTGTGTCTCTTGCATTATTTTTTCATACTGCTGAATTATGTCTGAACCCAGAGTGTCGGAAGTGCCAGAAGGCTTGCAAGGTCAGGGCACCCACTGGAGACAAGCATTATCAAGCAGCCCCTGCGGAGGTAGTGCTACATTAAAAAAAAATGGTTAGTAATTCACTCAGTAAAAGTGCATTCTGTGAATATGGGGCAAAAGACAAATGGTATTAATCTATTTTCTGAGAATGGTTTTAGTTTATTTAAAATGGAAATGCCACATTTGGCCACTAGATGACTCTAAGGGGTTTATTTACTAAAGCTGGAGAGTCCAAAATCAGACTTCCTTCTGCATAGAAACCAATCAGCTTCTAACCTCAGCTTGTTCAATGAAGCTTTGGCAATGAAACCTGGAAGCTGATTGGTTTCTATGCAGAAGGGAGTCTGATTTTGGACTCTCCAGCTTTAGTAAATAAACCCCTAAGTATCATAAGAATTTCCTAGCATACTTTGCACATCTAGCAGATAAAATGCAGTGTTTTGTGGTTTAAATTCTTGAAAAATATTCTACCACTACAGGAAATAGTTTAATAACATTCATTTTGTGCCCTATTTTCAGAGAATGAACTTTACAAGGTGAATTGCAATGTAGATTTTTTTTTTTAAAACACACCCCATAGTGTTACTGGCCATAAGCTTTATGTTTGATACAAAAAAAAAAAACAATATTGTTTAAGCGTATGCAAATCCAAAACTTTAGTTGGTTGGTTAAGGCTTGGTCTGTACCACACTGGGTAGATTTCTCTTCACATCCTGTCTAAGAAACACAACACATAAAAAAGAAAGATCTCTTCAAAGTGAGGGAAATACCCTTTTATACAGTTTTTACCAAAACAGATTTCATTATTAGAAGATTACCTCTCACAACCTATTCATGTGTCACTGAAAAATGTTGGATTTCTCATCACTTTCTGTATTGAAAACAATGGGCACTCGGACAAATACAGAAGATAAACCTCCCTACAGCAGGGACACAGATGGCATTAAAAAAATCAAAATTTCTACCATTCTACCTAAAAATAAAAAATACATTTTGGCTTTACAGTACATATAATGTAAGATGATGGAGCAAATAAACTCAAGACAATTGTGCATTTATGGTTTAAATATATTTGGGTTGCATAGCCTTGATCCTATAGTGGACCCCAATAACAATGTGTATATATATATATATATATATATATATTAAACTATAATAATATGTAGTATAAATTTCATATATATATATATAATGAAAAAAGTTTTAGGCTGTTATATACTACTCACTGTAGCACTTATTTATTACACTGTATATGTATACAGCATATAGTCATTAGTATAACAGTTAAAACTTCAAAAAGCTTTTCACAAAGCATCGGGAAAAAAAGACACAACTCACGATTTGCAAAGATGTGTTTGGAGAAGGGAAGAAGGATTACATGAGGAGATATAGAATTAATGCATACTATTTTTGGCTAAGCTTACGTTGGCTTGTAAGACTGATCCTAAGTCTGTTGCTCTCATTAATTCGTTCTATGAAAGCAACAAATTTGTTCCTCCTCCTCCCCCTGTGTGTCTTGTAATTTTAGATGTGACCTATTTAATTTGCTACAAAATAAACACAGAAAGTTAAATGACTTAAGCTCTCTAATCTTATTAAATAATACAAAGAGTTTTCAACCACTGTTGTGCATTGGGTGCACTTGTTCCCTATATACTGAACAGATGCAAGACGATTATTTACTAAAGGTATAGCACAAAAGGCTACAGTAAAATAAAGGGGCATGTGCAGGCCCAGACTGGGGCAAAAAATAGGCCCGGTCATTTTATACTGAGCAGCCAATTTCTCCAGGGGGACTGGGGGGATGGGGAAATAGGGGTTGGGCATTCGCGGGGGTGGTTTGTGATGGGAAATTTACAGAGTCAGTCCTCTACACTGTAATGTAAAGGGCCACTGTGTTATAAAGGGGACTGCACTGTAAAGGGGCACTGTAATGATCACAGTGCCCCTTTATACTGCAGTTCCCTTTATAGTACAGTGCCCCTTTACATTACAGTGCCCCTAGCAATCACAGCCCCCTATCACAGTGCCACTTGCAGTCATGCCCCCCCCCCTTTCTCTCTAATCCCAGTGCCTCCTATATATTGGCCAAATCCAGAAAAGAGACATCCCCATCCAGCAAAGAGACATCACAAGCCAGCAAAGAGACATCCCCATATAGAAAAGAGTCAACCCCATCTAGCAAAGAGACATGCCCAGTCTAGCAAAGAGACATGCCCAATCCAGCAAGAGACAAGACCAATCCAGCAAAAAGACAGCCCAGTCAAGCAAAGAGACAGCCCAATCCACCTTACTACAGCGGCCTGGTTCACCCCGATGCGGTGCAGAATTTGCTGATTTCTGTGTATTTCCAGCACCACATCAAAATCGCACTCCATTCATGTGAACTGCTGCAGGTGTGTATGTTAACGACAACCCAAAATAGGTTCTCAAAACACAATGTGATATTCGGAATTGGATCACATGGGTGTGAACACCCATGCAATCCAATTCCAGTGTGGCAAAAAAAGTTTCCTGCACCATTTCAGTGTGGATGTGGTGCAGTTTGAGTCATACAAAATAAATAGGTTCAAATCGCATTGCTGTAAAAATTGCATATGATTTGCACAGCAATGCGGTGTGATTCCTCTGCGAATCACATGTGATGTGCCAAATCATGGCAGTGTGAACTGGGCCTTAATGCAGGACAACATGTTGGGTCCAAGAAGTTCACTGACATTGTGAGAGCGATAGAGAGACCGCTCTTGGCAAGAACTTTCTTCCTCTCACAAAGTGAGTGATACTGAACAGACAGAGAACATGTCATGTCAGAAGGTAAAATGACAGCCACAGAGCTAGACACCCAAACATTCTCTCCTGATGAACATTTACGGTCGGAAAAAGACAGTTTGTATAGACTCAGTTTAACTCTGATGAGACTTTCAGTCTGGTTCTATACAACGTGTCTTATAGTTTTTTTCTAACAGTAAATGTTCACTCACTGACAGTGGCAGCCTGGCACATACTTTTTCTTAATTCCAGGCCGGGCTCTCTGTAGTGTCTGTGGCATCAGGCGATGGGGTCTCCTCCAGCTCCTCCCCCTTCACAGTTA